ACATAAAGTTATTTTTATATATTTTATAACATTTCACTTTAATTTTCATTTATTTTTTAAATATTTATTATTTATTTATTTATTTATTTATTTTTATCCTCACCCGAGGACATTTTTGAGATTATCCTCAGGTAGAGTGGGAGGAAGAGAGGGAGGAAGAGAGAGAGAGAAACATCAATGCAAGAGAGACACACCAATCGGCTGCCACCCACACGACCCCGGGGACAAACTGCAACCGAAGTACATGCCCTTAGCAGGAACCAAACCTGGGACTCTCCAGTCTGCGAGCCAACGCTCTAACCGCTGAGCCAAACTAGCCAGGGCTTCACCTTAATTTTTAAAAATAAATTTCCAGTTAATTTGTGGGGTTTATCAAGCTAATGATTATATAATCTATGAATATTTATAATGTTGCTTCTTTTAATTTGTTTTGATTTGGTAGTGAGAATTAAAAACAGTTTTTAATAGAAAAAATCATGAGTTTATGCTTATACTTCCAATTTGAAATTTGGATTGCAAAATTCTTAACATTTTTAATTTTATACTTGAGTTCAATTTTGTTATGCAGGAAAGTTTTATTTCTTAATATACTAATAGTTATATATTTTCTTTAGCTTATATTATCCACATATTATTTTTAAATAAACAATATCAATATAACTATGAAAATACCAAATACAGGTTCAAATATCTTTATGGTTCTTCTCTCCTCTACATGAATATATAGTTAGAACACAGGTTAGCCCTGGCCAGTTTGCTCAGTGGTTAGAGCGTCGGCCTGTGGACTGAAGAGTCTCAGGTTTGGTTCCCACTAAGGGCACGTACCTAGGTTGCAGTTTGTCCCTGGCCCTGGTTGGGGTTGTGTGGGTAGCAACCACTCGGTGTGTCTCTCTCATATCCATGTTTCTCTTTCTCTTTCCCCTCTCTCTCTCCCTCCCACTCTATCTGAAAATAAATGCAAAAATGTCCTCGGATGAGGATAAAAAAAACACAGAATAAAGTTACTTAATGTAATTATTCTATATACATGGCTATTAACCTGATGGACAGTTATGTTTGTTTTTAATTTGTGAGGATTACTTTTTTATATAAATTATTACAATTTAATTATACAATTAATTTTCATGGTTCCAGTTAAAACTTTATATATTCACTAAAGTCTCATTTCCATCCTGAGTTTTCTATACTGTTCTTTCCTCTCACCAAGAGGTAGCCATTTGAATTGAATTAATTATAAAATAAATTAATTTTAGCTCTTTTCTTTTTATCCTCACCCGAGGACATTTTTTTAATTATCTTAAGATAGAGAGGAAGGGAGAGAGAGGGCTACAGGGAGAGAGAGAGAAACATCGATGTGAGAGAGACACATTGACTGGTTGCCTCCCGCAGACCCCGACCAGGGCCGGGGATGAACTGCAACTGAGGTACGTGCCCTTGACCAGAATTGAACCCATGGTCTGCGGGCCAACGCTCTAACTGCTGAGCCAAACTGGCCAGAGCTTAGCAATTATTTTTAACTAAGATGATATGTATTTATGAATTTATATTTACATGTCTATATATATCTACATATGTGTGTGTGTGAGTGTGTAGATACATTATATGTACTAGTAAATACCATTTTTAAGGTGCCTTAGGACCACACATTTTAATAAAGTGAATATGACATGGTCCTTGCAGGCAAAGAAAAATATAGTTATGGTGTTTCCATAGCACTTTGCACCTACCTTCATGATAGAATTTAACTATCAGATTGTAATTTTTGTTTAGTTTCTACCTCTTTGCCTATACTGTAAGCAATGATAGGCAGGAATGGAATCTTACTCAGCCATGTCACCTCAGAACTTAGCAAAGTGTTAGGTGCCTAGTATGTGGTCTTAAGCTGTTTGCAAATAAGGTGATTCCATGGAATGTTTACCCTGACTAACTTCAGAATAGACCCAATTTATTTATTTATTTATTTATTTATTTATTTATTTATTTATTATTGATTTTTTAGAGAGAGGAAGGGAGAGAGAGATAGAAACACTCGATGTGAGATAACCATCAGTTGGCTGCCTCCTGCATGCCCCTTACTGTGGATCAAGCCTGCAACCTGGTCTTGTGCCCTGACTAGGAAATGAACTGGGACCTCTCAGTTCATGGGATGATGCTCAATCCACAGAACCACACCAACTGAGCAGAATAGACCCAATTTAAATATCAATCCCTAAAACTTGCTTTTGAACCTATTTCTTGATTTTTAGCACACAATTTCCTGTCCCTGTTATCTCAAGTTCAGCACTAACATTCTGGAAACTAGTAATGTTTTCTTTTTCACTTACCATTTTTACTTGCTGAGCTGTGTGGTGAAACCCTTCCTGTTCCTGTATAAAAGAGAACTTTCCGAAAGAGTGACCTGTTTCCTGCCACTGAACTCCCATGGGGAGATGTGGGTTCATAAAGGCGAAGCGGATCACAGCTACACAAATCATTTAAGGGGGATGGTGAAAATGAAGCCTCTCATATAATAAGTAAAGCCTGAGCTTCTACACTTCTAAGAACTGCCAGGGGATGTCCATGCTACCAATTTGAGGGTCATCCTTTGAGTAGCTAGAAAACAGATAACTCACTTCACAAACACAGTCATTCATTCTTTAAACATTATTTAATTCTACTATGTGCCAAGCACTGGACTAAGAAACTGAAGAGGAATGTGACATAGTCCTTGCCCATAAGAAACCCACAATTTAATGTGGCAGCAAACACAATAACAAATGTGTTATAAATCACATGACCATTAACAGAATGAGAAGATAAGCCATAAACTGGGAGAATATATTTGTGGAAGACATATTTGATAAAAGATTGATATCCAAACTATAAGAAAGCTTTTAAATATGAAAACAGACAACCAGATTTAAAAATAGGCCAAAGAGCTTAACAGATACCTCGCCAAGAAGATACACAGATGGCCAATAAACATATGGAAAGATGTCAACATCATATATCATTAGAAAATTGCAAATGAAGACAATGAGAAACCACAACACCTATTAGAATGGACAAAATCCAGAAAACTGACAACATGTAATGCTGGTGAGAATATAGAGCAGCATGAACCCTCATTTATTGTTGGTAGGAAAGTAAAATGGTGCAGTCTGTTTGGAAGGCAGTTTGATGGTTTCTTACAGAACTAAACATACAGTCCAACAATCACCTTCCTTGGTATTTGCCCAAATGAGCTGAAACTGATGTCTACACAAAAACCTGCACACAGATGGTTATATAGCAGCTTTACTCACAATTGCCAACATTTGGAAACTACCAAGATGTGCTTCAGTAGATGATTGAATACATAAACTGTGGCAAATCCAGGCAATGGAATATTATTTAGTGCCAAAAGGAATTTTAAAAGATTACATACAGAATGGTTTTCCAACTATGACATTCCGGAAAAGGCAAAACTATGGAGATAGTAAAAGGGTCAGTGGTTGCCAGGTATTTGCGGGGAGGGAACATTAATATTAGGTGGAACACAGAAGATTTTTAGGGCAATGAAACTTTCTGTATGTTATTATAATAAAGGATACATGTTACTAAATATTTGTCAAAACCCATAGAATACAGCAAGAGTACATCTTAATCTAAACTATGGACTTTGGTTGCTAATGAGGTGTCAGTGTTGGTTCACTAATTGTTTACAAATGTACTACTCTGGTACAGGATGTTAGTGATGAGAGAAACTGTGCATGTGTGGGAGCTGGGGGTATTTGGAAATTCTATGTACTTTCTGTTCAGCTTTGCTAAAGCTAAAACAGCTCTTTTTAAAAGTATGTATATACAGATTGATATATATGATCAGTCCAGAGAATCAATTCTGGGGCCTAGAAAGTCTTCATTGGTGGGCAAAACAGATGTGTGTGTGTGTGTGTGTGTGTGTGTATGCACATATATAATATACACTTTTTTTAAAAAAAACATGGTGTTCTTAAACATATGCTTTGGATGTAAGAACAGGCAGTTGTCTACATGGCCAATTCAATTCTGAAGGGAAATGCACCAGCAATACCCCACCTCTTCTGACAGTAGGACCATCCTCCACAATTAATTAAGTGCTAATGGGAGACAATGAGCAACAGTGAGCAATAAACACCCTTTCTGAAGCTCTTCTTGCTCTTCCCTTAAAACAAGTCTTTGATTGGGACTTTACTATAGGTAGAGTCCTGCATCAGCAGCATTTTGCTCTCATCCCATATCCATACCAAACTAGCCTCTGCACTGAGCAACTATATCAAAATTATCTGGGGTGCCCTGACAGGGTGGCTCAGTTGGTTGGAGCATCATCCCATACATCACAGGGTTGTGGGCTCGATTCAGGGCACATACCTGGATTGCCAGTTTCACCCCTGGTCCGGCATGCTTAAGGGAGGCAAGTGATCACTATTTCTCTCATACGTGAATGTTTCTCCCTCTCTAAATCAATAAAATCATATCCTTGGGTGAGAATTTTTTTAAAATCATCTGGGGTGTCTTTTAATGCTGAGGATTATAGAGCCATATGCTGGATCTCCTGAATCAGAACTTCTTAATGCTGGGATTTGGTAATCTACAATTTAGCAAGTTCTTCAAGTTGTTTTTATGTGCCATAAGGTTTGAGAATCATTCAAATTTCATATCCATGCACTTTTTGGTACAAAAGCCAACACCAAATTGATTCCAAATAAGTTTTAATAATATTACCTTCTTATTGGGAGCAATCAACAAGCTTAAAATTTAAGGCAAATCATTAAATTATCTAAATGTTCTTTTTCTCATGTTTCATTAACAAAATAAGCCATGCAAATAATACTAAAATAGATTTATTTGTGAAATACATATATAACTCTGGCACCTTTTATTAAGAAGAAATAAACACATAAATGATTTGTGATTTTGGCAGCATCATACAAATGTAAATCATTAAGAGAGGTGAACTCATTATCAACATTACTGTAAGTCATGCTAAGAATGTTGTCAACAATATACAGAAATATATATATATATTTAAAATTCATTATGAAGGAACTGTTCAGTTTTGTTTATCTGATAAGGACGGCTAAATGTATCCTCCCCATACTTCCTGTTTCTATTCTTAAGAATACTGAACCGAGAACAGCTATTTTAATTTATCTTTTGTGCATAAGTTTCCTGTGAATACACGTTAGATAAAAAAGCCTACCTAAAAGTGATTGCTCAAAATTCTAGGATTAATGATATACTGGGTAGACAACAATGACTCTAAAACAATGCCTGCCATCCCAATCTAAGGGTCAAAATTTTAAGAAATGCTCAACCACAAAATCTGTTTAGTCTTTTTTGGACAAAACTTTTATGGGATATCATACTCCTATCCCCATCATTTCCATACATCATTTTCATACTTTTTCTTCAATGACTAATGTGCTCTAGTATTCTGAGTTTCTTTAGAGAACTGAAGTGGTATGTTAATTTTGTCTGTTTCTCTTTTACCATTTCTCTAAGTCACTCACCCTTCCTTTTAGACACTAAACCACATACACGTGCACTCACACATTCTCTCTCACACACACACACACTCTTCACACTCATTTGTGCAGCAGCTCATGTATTTGTTCTAATGGATTCTAACCTCTGCTATCCATTCCATATGAGGTCTGTTGCATTATTTAGTAGCAGCACCTGAGAACCCTAATAGCCTTAAACTGTTGAATAAAGTTGCAGGCTATTTTTGAAATAATTAGACTCAAGTACTCCGGAAATTCAGAAAACTGAAATCATATCTTCTTACTATACTTTTAAGTGGCCACAACCACAGTATTTTAAAACAAATGGTTATCAAACTATACTACCTCACTATGTATGATTTGCACTGATTCCTTAGTAATAAGAACAGCAAGATACAGATGTGGTGAATGAAAACCTGTTGACCTGTACTGGCCAACTAAAGAGTCTGAACTTTGCTCCATTCCATTAATTATGCTTTTAATTTGACATCATGTCAACATAAAGCAGTGCAAGTCATCAATATGCACCTACCTGGTGATAACTATTCTCACTGACTTTTATGTTTATTCAGACACACACACAAGTATATTAATTCAGCAGCCTTATGTCAACTCCTACACATTAGTCTATGTAACCCAAACACTGAGTTTATAAATGCATCATGCTTTAATTGCTCCATTACCACAGATATTTGCTTTGCAGTCTAGCAGGGTGGATATAAGTATTTGTTTCTCAGGTATGGGAAACATCTGCTCACATCAAGTTGGTATATTCCACATCTTTATTGCACAAGTTATTTTATCAAGTCTAAAATCATTTCTCCTTTACATTTCAGAAACCCCAATATTAGATTGACAGAGGGAATTTTCTTATTATCAAAGATCGACTGGAAATAAATATACTATCATTACCATATTTATGGTTAGTTAGTTAAATTGGGACATTCTTTTTCAACTGTGTGTAGTGAACTGATCTGGATAACACATATCTCTCTTCCCTACATGTCTTTCTGATAGATCCAAAGAGAGTATTGAGTTTATATGTTGGGTAAAGTGTAGCTAAGTTTAAATGTTCTACTACACTGCTCTGCATCATATGACTTAGTTTTGGAGAGGAGACATTGTTGTTCATAGCAATAATGTAAAATGCTCCCAAAGAATTTTCTGGGAGAAATTTTAGTCACTCATCCTACCAACCCTTAAGAGCCAAGTTCCATCATGAACCTCCTTAAAGTGAATCTTCTCAGGTCAAGGAATGTTATTTGACATTCTGTTGGTCTCAGGTAATGGTATTAACATGCTGATCAGTCAGTGATCACTTGTGGGAGCAGGACCAGATTTAACTCCTCACACATATGGTTGCATATTCTGTAGGGGCTTCTTTCACGTTTCTTGCCTGTCTTGGGTTCATTTCAATGACAGAGTGGTTCAGCGAAGCATAAACAATGCCTTGCTTCTTTTCCTCCAGACACGGGTTAGAATGAATCCCAGGCTTTTCCTGGGCCCTGAACCAGGGGTCATTATTATAAGCTTCACTTTCTGATGGCAGAGTTTGGGAATTTTGCCTGGCACCCACTTCAATTTGCTCACTTCTAAAGGGCTGAGAAGTATCGACCTGTAAGAGAGAAAAACATGTTTAATGATCATTTAAAGTGGGATAGTGCATATTTATTAGCAAGCTATGAATGCAGGCTAAATTGAGTCCGTATATATGGAAAGAAATAATCAACTTTTCCTCACATATGTTTTCGACATCTTTTTTTTCTTAGCAGATTCTCACTTATTAAAGGATGAAAGGCGTAAGGACCACCATGTTCCTCTCAAATTGTTATTTTGTGCTTTATTATTGGTCCCTTTTGAGGCCAAAGAACCCTTTTAAATCCCTCTTCAAGATGAAAAGCAGAGCCCAAATTTATGAGAAAAGCACAAAATGTTTCTCAGGAACTTCAGGCAGCCTACAACAAAATAATAGTATTAACACAGTTTAAAATAAAATCGTTAAAGATAAAGCAGAACAGATATTCTCTGAGGGGGCAGAAAACATAAATATTATAAATTATCCAAGATATATATTTTAGAGAGAGAGGAAGGTAGAGGGAGAGAGAAATGATGAGGAAACATCGATCAGCTGCCTCCTACATGGGAGCTTAGAAAAAGTTTTACAATATTTCAATTGTTATTTCTATCACAAGAAAAGTCTTACAAATAGAGTCAACTATCTTGAAGCTCTGTAAAAGAGGTGAACTTATGGAAACTAAAAGTACAATGGGTCCTGATGTTTTTCACTCTTTTCAATTATTTGTTTGTCATTCTTCGTTATACAAGGGGGCTCAACTGGTAAAAATGAAGATGTCGTGTTATTTCAACTTTTTAAATTCCAGTTTTGCCCATGAATGTTCTTGAAGTTTGGCCTAACTGCTTTCAAGTTTCAGGTGACAGTCTACGTGCCTTGTCTGGCCCGTCGTGGTCCTCCTGTTTGGGATGTGTGCAGTGGAACGTCCACTTCTCCTTAGCAGAGTTCCACCACGCAAGCACGTCTGGATCTATCCTGAGAGACTAGGTATTAACTGCTGAGTACACTGCCTCCTTCTGATGAGGCGTTGGCTCAGGCAGTAACAGAGGCTGAATGACTGAGAGAGTTAGAGATTGCTTTAAACTTCCCTGTCTCTTGGCTCAGACGGAAAGTACCTGACCCCCACTCAAAGGAGCCTGTTTACAGTCTCTGGAGGAACACTGAAGAGGAAGACTGCCCTGTGACCTAATAAACAGTATAAATCTTCAACATATCAACAAGACCCTTGTTATATTTTTCAATCTGTGTCTGTCAACTCAGTTATCTGGCTTCTTCCCAAAAGATGGCTCATTTCCATGGAGAACTGTTGGAATGAATGGGGTAAAAGAAAACATGGTGCTCTGTGGCTGAACTTACCCTGTGGGCACTTCATTCAAGTGGGCAGGTGCCACAGGCTGGCGAACCCTGCTCGGGTGGGGCAGATGACAAACCCTAAAGCAACTCTCTTACTCAGTATTTGTATGGCACTGTTCCATTTACCACACACTTTAAAAATGTGTTGAGATGTACACGTTTCATGTACCTTAGAATTCACTTTTAAGTGTACAGCTCAGTGGTTTTTAGAATCTAAGCACTTTTATATCCTCAAAGAACCATTCTGGAATAAGATGAGAACTATGGCTTTCATATGTGTCTGACATGTGTTTCCCAGTTCCTTTCTCTGCTTTGGATTTCTCCTCCACGGTTCTCATAAAAGTTCTTTCTTAAGAAATTTGTAGTCAGTCTCAAAGATCTAATATGGCATCTCTTTTATTATTTTTTGAAATGTTTGACTGACAAATCAAATGGGGCAAAACTGTGAATCCCGTGAAAGACAGAAACACCCTAAAACAAAATTCCTGTGGAAGGAAACCTGACTTTGGATGATGAACACACATACAATACACAGATGATATATTATAGAATTGTAACTGATACAATTTTATTAACCAATGTCATCCCAACAAATTCAATTAGAAAATTTTCATATAATTGCATACACAAAAAAGCCTCTCTTGAATTTCAGTTCAAATCATAAATAATTTGCCCACCTTATACAGGAAGAAATATGACTACATTTTGACCAACCTGGGCTTTACTTGTATGATAAATTATTTAGATTAGTGTCTTAAATGGTTTCATAGTTCTCAAACCTGATTGTAAGAGAATATAGATTACTGTTGTTGTTCAATATAGGAAGAAAGGAAATAATTTTTTTTAAATCCTCACCTGAGGATATTTTTTCATTTATCTTCAGTCAGAGGGGGAGGGGAGAGAAAGAGAAAGAAACATTGACTGGTTGCTTTCTGCACGACCCCAACCGGGGCAGGGGACCAAACCACAACTGAAGTACATGTCCTTGACCGAATTCAAACCTGAGAATCTTTGGTCTGTGGGCTGACTCTTTAACTTGCTGAGCCAAACTGGCCAGGGCAACAGAAAATTATACTTAAGAAAATTTTCCTACTCGAGGAAACAAAACCTTAGCACCTATCACAGTGATGTCTACTGATGCTTACTAAAAATTTAATACAAGTTTTTAAAACTTAATATAAGTATTTGGTTTGATTTAAAATTAGGCCATTACATGGACAACTAAGCCGGGGACAGGGTGGAGGGGGGGTGGGGTGGGGGGTGCCAATGGGGTAAAAAAGGTAAAATATCTGTAACAAAAAAAATAAATAAATAAAAAAAATTCATAAATGCCAAAAAAATAAAATAAAATAAAATTAGGCCATTGATGGGGAATACTGAATGCCATTTAATATTATATAGAGAATTGTTGGCTTTATCTGCCTCTGACATTTTGGGAACTTTCAAGATTACTACATCTTTATCTCTACTTGGGTTTACACTCTCTCTCTCTCTCTCTCTCTCTCTCACACACACACACACACACACACACACGTGCATGCACACATATCAAGTTCCTTTGTAGTACCTCATTCATGACTACAGTATTTTTTAAATAATTTCTATCTTGCCCTGGCCAGTTTGGCTCAGTGGATAGAGCATTGGCCTGCGGTCCAGAGAGATCCGGGTTCGGTTCCCACTAAGGGCATGTACCTCGGTTGCAGTTTGTTTCCGGTCCTGGTTGGGTCGTGTGGGTGGCAGCCACTCGATGTGTCCCTTTCACATCGATGTTTCTCTCTCTCTCCCTCCCACTCTATCTGAACAAAAAAAAAAATGAAACAATGTCCTTGGGTAAGGATAAAATAAGAATAAGAATAAGAATAATTTCTATTTTATTTTTTAACCCTCACCTGAGGATATGTTTATTAATTTTAGAGAGAAACATCGACATGAGAAACAGCAATTGGTTGCCTCCATACCTGCCCTGACTGGGAATCCAACCCGTAACCTTTTGGTATACATGACGACACTCCAACCAACTGAGCCACCTGGCCAGGGCACTGTTTGTTTTTAACTAAAGAACTTCATAAAGGATTTTTCAGAAATATATCACCTCAGCTTGCATTCTTTTTTGAATTCCAGTATTTGCACAATATTGAACCCAAAAGGAAGGCCTAAGTTTGTACTCAAGAACTTGTAGGAAAACGTGGCACTGCCTCCAAACAAACTTCCCTTTGTGTGGGAGGCCTCTCCCTTGATGAGCCCACACACATTACGAGAGACTTTTGCATAGTAGCCAGATCTGTGGTCATGCTTCTTTATCTGCTGGTATGATTTATGAAGAAATCATACCTCCTTTTATGAGGTGATTGATGGTTCATTCTTTCATTAGCTTTCACTTCTCTTCCAGAAGGACTTTAAGGTATTTTATGAAAATAAATGAATAGCCTGAAGTCACATAACAGGCCCAGAGCGGAGCCAAGGTTTATGGTTCAGTCTCTGACTTTTCTACTTTGGGCCTACACGGCCACCCACACTCTTCCGAGAAACCACTTATTCTGAGACTTGTTAATCCTGAAGAATCTCTGCTTCAAACAGAGGTAGATACAAAATAAGCACACTTTTAAAGTAAGTCAATATACATAGCACTAGAACATTGCTTGGCCCATGGTAAGTGACTCAAATGAAAATGTGTATAAATATATAAATATTAACATGATATAACATAGATTGCATTTGTTTTAACAGATACAGTAAACATACCAGGTTGATTCCCCGTTCTGTTGTATCAGAAGGTTTCTTTTGTTCCCCTGGAATTCAAAAAGAAAAATAAGAAACTACAAGGAGTCAAGGACCACACAAAGTTCTTCCCTAAGCCCCTGTAAATTAGGGTTGTTTTAAGAATATGGGTTCTGGAATCAGACTGCTAAGCTGAACTTCAGTCCCTGGAGCAGAGGTGGAATGCTCCTCCACTCATGCCCACCCACTTGCATACCAGTGAGAGCGTTATTGTTTGTTAGACTTGTTTACTTGCTGTGACTAGCATGGCTCACATAACTCAGTTTCTGTGAATTCATGCTGACCCATTTTCTTCACTTCTCACTCCAGAGAGCCCTCTGGCATATTCTAGGGGAAAGAGCAGTATCTAATACATCACTTTTTTTTTTTTCCTTATTGATTTTTAGAGAAAAAGAAAGGGAGAGGAAGAGAGGAATAGAAACATTGATGAGAGAGAACATCGATTGGCTGTCTCCTGCATGCCCCCCACTGGGGATTGGGCCCACAACCTGGGCATGTGCCCTGACTGGGAATTGAACCAGCAACCTCTTAATGCATAGGTTGATGCTCAACCACTGAGCCACACTGGCTGGGCAGTAGTACATCACTCCTAAAAGGCTGGAAATCCTTGTTTGAGGATATTCCATACTCAGTGCCAGACACACTACTGTCCTGTCACCTACAGAACCAGGATCTCCTACTACCTAGTTCATCTTGGATGTGGTGAGTCAAAGGATTTATCCCTGAATCTTTTCATGAAGATCTAAGAGAAGTTCCAACAGCCTCAGAAAAGGAGGTGAAACTTGGAGAGGGACTATGGAAAGATCCTTGGAGTTACAGATGTGGACTTGGGGTTACAGAGGACTCCCTCAGGATTCCGAGAAGGTTCTAGGCTCCGGAAGTCCTCACCACAAAACACCAGAACCACTTTCTCCCAGACAAAGATTTCTCTTATGGCAGAAATAAGGGTTTCTTTGTCTTGTGTAGTCTGTATAGTTACACTGTGGCTGCTGTTGTGGAAAGAGGTGTGGAAGGAGATGGCAGAGTGGAACAAAGAAGAGAGAGAGAATGGAAGTGGTTCAGACCGGAGCTAGACCAGAAGTCTCCATACACCTGTCTCTTGTGTGTTTAATATTACCCTCATGACACTGGGAGGATGCTTACAAAAGCAAAAAGAAATTGTTTAAAAAAGATCACACCTCTTCCATCATGCAAAACCCACTTTATTATTATTATTGTTGGATGAGGATTCAGTTCAAGCATGTGTTTGTAATAGCCACAGGAAGTGCAAGCATCTGAATTTTCTCTGAGGACAGTGAGTCCTCATGTAGACAAGGGTGTGTGTGACTGGCATGCTAGGGTGTGGCTGTGAAAAAGAGAATGGAACAAAGGCATTCAAATCAGACACATTGAGAGAATATTTCAACCTCTCTTTCAACACCCTGAACATTTAAAAGAGCTTCTCACACACACTGACGATTGACACAAGCAGAACAAGTAAATTTCAGCAGGGTTTTCTCCTCACCACAACCCTTGGCTGCAGCACTGTGCTGTGGTGAGCTTGCCTCACTATGACTAAAGGGAACCCAAGTTAATATGTGTGGCTTTTTGGTGGAAGGATTAGTTGTCCCCAGGAAATCATTATCCATGGTTTATTGCAAAATATTGAGGAAGAAAACAGGAACCAACTAAAAGTATGTCCATCCTAGTGAGTGAAACCCAAATGTGTGGCACAGAGCAGCAGAGGGAAGGTGGAACCCACCTTGATGCTTTCTCAGGCAGCAGAATAGGTAGAAGCAAGTAACGAGTAGAGGCAATCCTCCCAAAGGAAGCAAACTGTAAAGGATTAATAGTCTGTCCTCCACCTCGTCCATGGAAGATGGTCCAGAAGCACTGGTTGTATCTGAAATGTTAGTCAGTAATAAAGACTTAGAAAATCTGACTCATTAGAACTTGAATGAAGAATATGCCTCCATTTCCCCTCCAGTAACACTTCCCCAAGTACCCCATGCCTCAGAACTCATGCCTACTTCTTGCTTCATTGCTGAGTGTATATTGGTGGCTCTGGGTTACAATTTATTTTTTTGCAACAACTTTTTTTTTTTGTTCTGCTGGGGTTAATCCCCTGTAAAACAATATCCACAAAGTTCTCAGAAACAACTTTACCAAGACCTTTCATTGACATTGTCTGATTTAACTCTCATATTTATAACTTAAGAAAAGTAATAAAGCCATTATTTTTATCTAGTCCCATGCCTTGAGAAGAGTATTATTGTTCTAAGTCTTACCCTAGGTCAGACAGATGCCGAATGGCAATGGGGACTCAAGCCAACATCTTTTTGATACTAAATTCAAGTTCCTTCAACACAATGCCTTTTCATTGTCTCATAACTCTTTGGTATCTCCAAATACCAAACACTTTTGGTATCTCCAGATATCTTTGATATCTTCAAATATGGTTTGCTGGGTACACAGCTGGTGCTTAATAGTTTTTATTAATATTAACATGAATTAAGGTCCTGTTTGTCCATGATAGATTTGCAACTTATTTTTGATTCATGAAATAATTTAATTGATCACAAATAACATTTAAAAAATGAAACGTTACAGAATAAAAAGTATCAGAATGCATTATACATCTTTAATTTTGTACTTGTGTTCATTTTTATGCAGGAAAGTTTCATTTCTAAATATATTAATATAGTTGTAGATAAGCTTCTCCATGTGCTTGGTGTTGGGATATAGGAGGTACTAAAACTGGGTATCAAGTAGTTTGGAAATTCAGAGTGGTAACAAATGTTGCATTATTCAAACTGCAGCTGCAGACATAGCTGTCTGGGAGAGGGGTATGGATAGGAATAAAAACTATCCCACAACAGATAACCTACTATAAACAAATCCACTCAATTAAAAAGGTCCAACTTTTATTATTTCTCCACCATCAAACAGTCTAGATCCCTTAATTTTATTTGACTAGATTGATACTTACTCATTAGATGATGTTTTGAAGTATTTTCAGCCTGTTCTAAAATAGAAAAACAAGATAAGTATTGAATCTGGTTGTGAAAACAGTGCAGGTATATATCATGTATGTCTAAAATCAGAACCAGTATCTAAGATGACTCCTGCTTTTGCACACTAACAGAGAATCCAATAATCCAGCAAAAGGCAGTTTGCATAACTGGTAGATAACTTTGAGATCACGGACACAGAGTAAATTCCTGGGTTTATTTTGAGGCTGAAAGACAGACGGTATATACAACACAACCTTCATCTATCTGCTTTGATTTCCTCTTCCCCATTTCTTAAGCATAAGGACACACTATATCCTGTATGACAGCTGGTACTGAGAATAACAATACACACATTCAGCAGGTATTCCAAGTGAGTTGTGGAAAGCCATAACAAAATAATGTTTTTGATGACATGCTGGGTATTTATTTTGAAAAAAGATTGTGCCTCTCACTTCCTGCTTACTCATTCCACCCCTACTTTCCCATTAAGATAATGATTACTTGTCTTTGCAAAATTCCTAATCTGGAACTGACTAAGGGCAGATCGGGGAGGATGGAATTGCAGGCCATTGTATGTTCCAGTGACTATTCCCCAGCTCTGCCAACTTCTCCTCTGGGACTTTGCTCTGCAAAGTGCATTTGTTGATTCTGGGAAAACATTGCTTTCCAAACAGTGTCCAAGCCCCCACTTTATTACATCCCTATTCTTAAATAGACCAATTCTTAATTTGAGCATAAAAAGCAAATGATAATCAATAAATAAACAAACAACAATGTTGGTGAAGATGTGGAGAAAAGGGAACCCTCATGCACTATTGGTGGGAATGCAGATTGGTGCGGCCACTGTGAAAAGCAGTATGGGGTTACCTCAAAAAATTAAAATTGGAGTGGCCTTATGAACTAGCCATTCCACTTCTGGGAATATATCTGGAAGAACCTGAAACACTGATTCAAAAGAATATATTCACCCCTATGTTCATTGTAATATTATTTACCTATATAATTTTATTAATCAATGTCACCCTAATAAATTCAATAATTTTTTTTAAAAAATTACAAAATTCCCAATACCCCCCCCCCAGAAAGATATTTCAAGGGGAGGAAATGAAATTTTTTTTCATAATACCTCCAAAATGTATGTACAAAAAGCATGATTCTTAAATATAATTTCATAGCATATTTTCTCCTTACCTTGTACTTACTCTACTAAATATTTTCAGGTATAAAAGAAAAGGAATTTTTCTTTGGCCCTTTTCCGGTTGTTTGTTTTTATAACTTTATGAAAGAAAAATTCCACCCAGTTAAAAGCCAATTCTTACATAATTTATTTGACTTTTCAAGGAAGCAGAGATGACCCAGAGAACTATGACACAGTTCCTGCTTCCCAGGACAGTATAATCCTGGATGGAAAAAAGCCGTATCCACACATTGCTTTAGTACAAGGGAGTGAGTGATCATTAAGAAGCACAGACCTTCAATAGCATAAAAATGGTTAGAAAAAGAAATCACTTCCCCAGAAGTCAACATGAAAGTTTTCATTAAGAGCTCAGAAAATGAGCTGGGCTTGACAGGAGAGGTGGAATTTGATGGACAGAGGCAGATGAATGGGTGCCCCATGAGTGGTGACAGCAACATTGGAAGGACCATGGTGAAGACACGGCAGTGGCAAGTAGGGCTGTTGTGTTGGAGGAGGCTGGAGGTGGGAGTTTCTTTATGGAATCCAGAAAGAGTCCACAAAGATAGGTGGGGATGGACTGTGAAGGGCCTTGAATGTTGGTGAGTCCAATATCGTAAGTGCTGAGGATGCTCTGTAAAGAACTTAATAAAAGACTGGCATTATAAAAGAAGTTTATCAGAAAAATTAAGTTTATCAAGAAGATTTTTGACTGAAGTGATCAAAAATGGGAAACTACTAAAGACAAGGAATCCATAGAATTCATTGAAATCATTTAGAAGGAAGATTATGAAGGTCTGAGATACTCTAGAAGCTGTAGGAGGCAACACATCACAAAGTGGAAGATTGTTGACAGACAAAAGTAGAAAGCCAGAGAAAAGTCCTAGTGGGGGTTAGGAGTATTAATTAACAGAGTGATAATGAAGGAGGTGATAAGAAAGGAAGGAGAATAGGAAATTAGGAAAGTAGAAACCTTCAAAGATAAATGTAAATGTTCCTTAATGTCTCCTACTGAGCTCTTTGACCTTCCTTCCTTCCACTTCATCCTTTATATTCTTTGTCCCAGTATGAGCCTAATAAGTACATCCCCTCAGGACACTGGGTTTAAGAGGGAATGCTGACTCGCTTTTTCTTGAAGCTAGGCCGCCTCCTCCACAAAAGAGACAGATTATTTATCCTAATTTTAGCTTCAACTTGGGTGGTCAAAAAATGACCCAAATATGGAATAGACATTTAGCTAAATTTCTCTCTCTCTTGTACAGGAGTGGATTGGTCCCCATAACAAAACTCTTCCAAGGGAGATGGACTTGATGTCACTACATTTAATTTTGTTATACATGACAGTAATATACATTATATAAATTATCTAGTAGAATTTAATTATTTATATTGAATAGCATAATTATTATCAGCCTGGAGCCAAATCTTTTGGCAAGATTTGCTTATTTTTAATATTTATGTTTTCAGTTAAAAAAGTCTCACTTCACCCTGGCCGGTTTGGCTCAGCGGTTAGAGCATCAGCCTGCGGTCCCGGGAGACCCGGGTTCGGTTCCCGCTAAGGGCATGTACCTTGGTTGCAGTTTGTTTCCGGCCCTGGTCGGTCATGCAGGTGGCAGCCACTCGATGTGTCCCTTTCACATCGATATGTCTCTCTCTCTCTCTCTCTCTCTCTCTTCCTCTCTTTTCCTCCCACTGTACCTGAACAAAAAATGTCCTCGGGTGAGGATAAAAAAATAAATAAAATTAAATTTAAAAAAGTCTCACTTCTTTAAAAATTTAGTGTTTTGTCTTATTGGAATTAATAGTACAATTCTCTCCAGAAAGCATTCATTTCATACATCCTCAATATAGGCTTCTTCGGGGTTGTTAAAGGAAATTTTTTTGCTTAGCATAGAGTGTGTTATTTAATTCATTTACAAGGAAATCTTTATTGAGCCACCCACTATGTGCCAGACACTGTACTACCTATTTGTAGAGAAACAAAGATGTTTGAGACACGACCTCCATTCTAAAGAGGTTTATAAACCAGTGCATGTATGGTCACAGGCAACTGGCATTGAGTTGGACACCAAATTTCTGAAAGCAGAGTCTCTAATTTTGCCATAATTATATTCTACAATTCTGTGCTTCATAGTACAGGATTGCCACTAGCCAGAACACTATTCATTCCCTCACTGGCCTGCTTGAAAAACTCTTTAGTGATGTTAAAAATTTCAGTGGGATTTTTAAGTGGATTCTTTCACTGGACTAATAAGGGAATTTAAAAACTGACTCCAAAGTATGTGTATAAAGTAAAAATTAATTAAAAACACACATAAAATGTAAGCAATTAAGTGAATGGCATCCATAGAAGCAATTGTTTGAGACTACATGTAGATTTCAGACATGCTATCACTGTATCATACCTTTCTAAATTTTCTCTTTTGCAATAATTTTCAAGGTCATTTATTAGCTCTAGTAGTTTTTGAGGATTTAAATTTTTTTCTCTATATAAGATCATGTCATTGTGAAATATATTTTGATTTCTTTCTTTACAATTTGAATGTTTTTATTTCTTTTTTCTTGCCTAGTTGCTATGGCTAGAACTTTCAGTTCAATGTTGAATAGAAGCATACAGCCTTGTTCCTCTTCTTAGGGGAAAAGCTTTGTCTTTCACCAGTAAGTAGATATTAACTGTCAGACTTTTAGAAACCAAATTTTATTTTTATTGTTCCCTAGTTTTCTCATTTCTGTTCCATGTTTCATTCAGCTTGGTTTTGCCCAACTTAACATCAACCTAGTTTGAGCCTTTTGAGGTCCTCTGGAGAGGGTTTGGGGAGACTGTTAAATCTATAAATAGTCACAAAACTTATGTGGGAGTCAAGTTACTTGTGTGCTGTTTGCTCTCTGTGCAAACTATGAACTATTAACATAACTTTAAGGAATTATTATCAGTAAAAGTCAAGGACAGAAAACTGGAAGGAAAAAAAACAAACAAACAAGGACAGGGAATAGAAAGCTGTCTACTGCTGTATTCACTTTGTAATTTTCCCCACATTTCCGTGATCTATATTTGGATTTATGAAATAACTTTTATTCCCCTTTAAGGTAAAAATAATCAATTTTATTGCATTGTTTCTGCCCTCTCTAATTTACTCACCTCAAAACACATGTAAACACACATGTGCAACCCATAACAGTCTGTGAGGTATGGCAGTATTCTAATCTTTTATACAAGTTCAGTGTCTAACATAATTACTTGAGAACCTGGGTTCTCCTTTTTCTTGAAACAAATGAGAAACATATTAGATAGTCTCGGTTTCTAGAACTCACCTGCCACATTAACAAATATTGAGTGACTTTCAATGAGTATAGACGAAACATTCACAGAACAGCGGTATGATCCATTGTCACTAGTCAATGCTTGACGAAAATACAGAATAAAATACCAATGCTTATCTCTGCATTCCCAATCCATGGTTATCCGATGTCCATTTTCAAGAGGTATACAGTGATTTCTTTCTAACTTGCACCAGGTCACATTCGGTCTGTTTCCACAGTATACCACAGGACATTCCAGTTGAAATTGGTCCCCTGCAAAGACGTTCTGCTTGGAATCTCTCTTAACATGAAGTTGCGTATTACATGATTTTTCTCCTGAAAGATGAAAACAAAATTAAAATCAAATCTGTTCTAGAAGGACCAGACATTTGTCACGTCAACAGTTTCTGTCAAAGATTTCTCAAGCACAATTCTATACATTTTTGAGATAACATTTTTCAGTAATTAGCCCTCACCAGCAGAGTGTCTGGCACATGGTAAGCATATAATAAATGTTTGTTGAAAAAAACAAGTAAATAATTTCCTAAATTTCCAAAATATGTTTATTATAAAATTATGCTTTATTTTATTTTTACTTATTTTATTATTTTATAGCTATTTTAATAGGTAGCAAATAATAATAGCATTTTTTTGGTCAGTTGTTAATTATATTCTAGGGGTGGTTTAAAACATAAATATTTTAACTCATTTAATCCTCACAACAAAAATAATATATGACAGTGATTTTCAACCGCTGTGCCATGGCAGGTACACAGGTGAACTGCAATTTTTAAAACATGCAATACCTGACTAGTCAGAGGCACAGACCTTTTTTCCCTTACATTGTCCAAAAAAATGACAATAGTCAGCACAAGACCTTTCCAGTATGAATGAATCAAAATTATACCTATGTTTGTCATATCAGAAAAAAATATAGTTTTGGTGTGCCATGAGATAAAAAAGGTTGAAATTCACTGATATTATGGCCCTGCATCCCACATACCGCTCCACATAGCATAATGTTCCATTTTCTCTACACACTTGGCAGCATGGTAAAAAATATGCTCATTTTTAGCTATTTCCTAACACCTGATTAACCTGTCACTATAATTTCTGCTCACCTATCCTCAATCCTTGCTCAGAATAAGACCACCTAATTGGATTTCCATGAATCAGACTGAGACAAGAGACCTACAAAGAACGTTTAAGACCTCTGAATATTTATATATGTATAACTGTTCTGAGACCTCAAGTAAGTTCACATTAAGACTTTGCAATTCAGTTGTTTCCAAAAATTCAGAATAAAAGTGAAAGCAAATTAAAAGTGAAGTTATAAGAACGAGGTTTTCAAAAAACTGAAGAGAAAGGGTAGGATAATTTACCAGAAGGAAGTTGTAACCTAGATGTGGTTAGAGTTGTGACAAAAAAGCAAGGAGGCAGAGGTAGAAAGGTCAAGTGAAACCTTTGTTTCCAGAAGTCCAATGCTCTCCCTAAAGTTAATGGGCTCTCAGCCTCCTTACTTCCCTTTTCATTTACTTGCATAAGTCAACCACGGTTTATGGAGTCCAAACTCTGTGCCAGCATTGTGAAAAACCACCCGATGGTTACAGACAAAGACATTCTTTTTTTTTCTCTCTCTCTTTTTTTTAATCCTCATCCAAGGATATATTTTTAAATTGATTTTAGAGAGACAGGAAAGGAGAGAGAGAGAAGGAGAGAGAGAAACATTGATGTGAGAAACGTCCATTGGTTGCCTCCCATATGTGCCTCAACTGGGAATGGAACCAGAAACCTAGGTATGTGCCCTGACGGGGAATAGAACCCGGAAGTTACTGGTGCAGGGAATGATGCTCCAACCAACTGACCCTCCCCACCAGGGCCAGGGCGACAAAGACTTCCTTCCCTCAAGGTACTTACCATTTAATTGGTGGTACACAATGAATTAACAACAAGGTCTCTTTTCTGAAATAAATTTACTATCTACCATTCTTTTTTTCTTCAAGCTTACCTGGGCTGAAAGTAAGGTTCATAGTAATCTTGTAGAAATAGATAAGACATGGTACCTGCCATCACGGGGCTTGCCCTCCAGTGGAAAATAAAGGCAACTGACCAACGGGAGGACAAAATAACACATGGGCATGTGGAGGATTCACTTCAGTTGGGGCTATTGGGACAAAGCTTATGGAAATGTTGTGTTTGAGCTGAACCTTAGTGAATGAGTAGTTCTTTGATAATTAGAGCAGTGAATAGGCATGGGAGGTATTTTAAAACTGAGGAAATGAAAAGGCAAAGGCAGAGAGGCCAGGAATCTCATGGCAGATTCATGAATTGATGTAAACTTTGATCATAGTTTTCGGAAACAGTGGCATGGAGATCACTAATTGTTTCATAATAAATGAAATAAGCATTAAGTGGGAGAAGTTTAAATTTTGTTTATCAACCATGAGAAAATACAGAGCTTGATTATTTTGGGATATTTATAAAGGTCATAGAGATAGCTAAAAATTAGAATATTCATTTGAACATAGTTGTTCAAAGGCTGACACATTGGTACTGAGCTAGACACCTCATCTCCATGGCTCTCCTTTTCTTTAAAATAAAATGAAAGGAATGGACTGCAAAAAGAAGAAAATTATTTCTCACCACCTTCTGCTACACAAAAATACAAGTACAACTTCACATCTCTGAGTGTGTGACCGACACTACAAAATTACTCCTAAGTCTCACTTTCTGCTATATTACCTTCATTTAGCCATTGAACTGTCACCCAATGCTAGTAGCAGAGTTGATCATCTGTTGTGGTTCCAGCATTCTCTGATCATACACTCTGGAGGAGTACACAGTGTGGACAAGAGAGTGAGCTGTTCATCCTGACCACATCCCTGACTTGCAATGGGCTAATGGAAACATCTCTGCAGTTCCTGCATATTCTTATTAGTAGAATGGGGATCATTGATTGCCACATTGCCTATTTCTTGAATAGAGGAATGAATGGATAAATGCAGGCTTGCCAGCAGGCTCTAAAAGCCATTAAGAACACTCCCTCTTTGTACAAAGGGAGTATTATATTCCCCATGTCTCTGAAACTAAAATTAATGTTTGTAGAGCAGGAATGATACACTAAGCTAAATGGCACACTTCCCATGTTCCACCTGACAAACATGTTGACATTTCTTTGCTGCGTGTCCTGATTTGTGCGTATCCATCTTATAACATTCAGGACATCCAAAGCTGTCCCCACCGGGTTTGTCTTGTCAAAACAAAACTTTTTCTGGAGATGGAGACCACATTTGCTTGGGCCTGGGGTTTACAGGCCAACATCAGGTATGGTCGTTCCTCTTGTTATTGCTCCTACTGTTTCCCTCACACATTCGTGTTTAATGGTAGGAGATTCTCAATGCTAAAAATAATTTAAATACCTAAAAGAATGAAACCTCTACCATTCCCAGGCCATTAAATGACTCGGTATCCTTTCCCTAGTCATTATAGGTTTAAAAAGCTTGTCATTTAAAAAATTCTCATGAAAACCACAATGGTATTATTACAGTATGTAAGTCCCTTGACTAGGCTGTACCTGCCATATTTGATGCCCAGAGTGCATTTTTAACAATCCCCTCTTCTACATGGAAATGTTTTCAGAAATAACTATGAAATGAAACAAATAATAAAATGGAAGGAAAAGACACATAGCCAGTAAGTTCTGTACTGAACTTCGTATGTAAAACCATGCAAGTTAAAAGATATTTGATAAACATTAGAATTTAAGAAAGTAAAAATGCACAATGACTTAATAATTTTTTATCTACCTAAATAGTGTGAACTTTGATCCTTTAGTTATAGTCTAACATATTAGTTTATATAAATGATTTTCCAGTAACTAATAAGTGACTTTTATTAAAAACTGAAATTCTACAAAAGATAAAATTTAGGTAATTACTAAATTGTACCATGAATGTAAAGTTTTTTTTTTCCTGGTTCATTTTTTAATTTTAAAGAGAAGAATACATTTTCAATTGTAAAGATATTAATCAAGAAAACATTTCACGCATGAATGAGCTTTAGTTTATACATGAGATTGTACCTCACAGTATGTACAGGTTTACTGTTTCAAATTTAAACAAATAAATATTCAAAATGGTTGCATAGAATAAGAGAAATAAAACCTCTCACATTTTTTGTCTCATACTCACTGTGGTATTATTGTGTATTTTAAATCTATTGTTTAAATGCAGGCATGTAGAGAACCCCAGGGACTAGAGATACAAACTAGGTCTGGAGCAAGCTTGAGTGATTCTGGGCATTATGAATTTACTCTTGAAATGTACCTAAATCTGTATACGTCCAGGGCCAACTCTGTAACTGGGAAGTTCTCTGAATTCATTTTCATGTAGAATGCAACGGTTATCAAAGGGGAAGTGCTAACGGAGTGCTAATTCAAAGCTTGCATACATATTATTAAAACACAGGAGTAACCACAGTAATCATTTAGAACTTTAACCAAAATTATTTTTAGGGGGAGAATTATTTCATTGTTGATATTGTTTAGAATTGCTGGTACATGGTGATAATTAAAAGTAGACCAACTTTTATTTGTTTTTAAATTCTGTACAGAAAATGTACCCCTTATTGTCCAAGCCAGGAGTGTGGACATCCCATTATTCATGACTATTTAGGAATATGACCATTTCTAGTGCAAAGGGGATGTGTAAAGAGGCTTACATTGCTACTTAATTTTCCCACTAATTTTTTTTTTTTATTATCTTGATTATACAGTCTCTCAGAGCTTTCAAATCTCGAAGAGGGAGAGAGCCCTTGTGTCTGGGTCAATCAAGAAAGGCTTAAAGGAGGAAACTGAATTACCTCCTGCCCCACACCTCACCCTGGGGCAAATCTGGTCCTCCTCCCATTATCATAGTATAACACCATTATCTATCTACCTAGTGACATGCAGTGGTCTTGATCTCTTTCCTTTGCTGCTCCATTCTATTCACCAAATTATTTGCTTCAGCATGCAACATCTGTTTCTATGCTGCTGCTTTAATTTGGGTCTTACTCTGTTTCATGGTTCACAGCCTAACAACTAATCCTCTATATTCCAAACTTGAACTCTACTTCAATCCATTCTCCACATTACTGTCACAGTTTGTATTCTTCAAATGAAAATTCAATCATAAGTCTTTTTGTCTAAAACCCTCCAGAGTCTCTTCAATGCTTGCAGGAACATGTTCAAACGTCATCAAATGGCATTTACCCCCTAGATCCTTATGCAAACTCACCCCACACCCAAACTCCAGCAACCCAAGTTCACTTGATGTTCCCCTTGGCAAATGTCTGTG